TTCTGGTTGTTCGTTGCCTGTAGGCCAACACTCACTCACATAGACTTCTACACATGCCAATACACACACACAAGGAAGGGGAGAGGATCGGAGTATCACACCGCACAGGGAGAGATAAACACAGCGGAAGACTTGACCATGCGATATGACAGGGTACACTGAAAGTGCAATACACTCCACTCAATCCTCACAACCAGTCATAGAGAAAAGCCGAGTAGATCACATCCAGAGAACAATGAAACGATGATAGTCCAAACACAGTTTTACACTGTTTATTAAACTCAGAGTCTCGAAATGTCAGGATCACTTCAGGACTATAGTGCGCTGCTCAGAATTGAGCAGCGCTTCACTCTCCAACCCTGATAGACACCCGTAACACCCCCTGAGCTCTGAAACATCAAGCGTCACCCAAATACAGCCTCCTGGGGGCAGCGCCACCCTGAAACAGGCCTCTGAGGCCAAGCGCCACTCAGAGGATGAAGAAGAAGACCAGCGCCACAGTATCTGATGATGACGAAGTGTCGGGAGACTTCCCGGGTGGAAGCCTGCAGCAGCGCCACCAAACCTTGACAAGATGACCTCTGAGATGAAGAAGCCGCAGCTATGGCTGCAGCGCAAACCCTCTAGGACCCCACTCCGGAGGAGGGTCCAGCAGGGCACCAATCTCTCTCGCCTCCAGCAGACCTGGATAACCCAGACCTCTGTCAGCCCCTACGTGCTGGCAGAGTACAGCGCAGGTCCCAGCTATGGCCTGCACTCCGAAGGTTTGGCTATGCCCGTCTTCCTCCACGCTGAGCCGTCACCACCTCCGGTTCACGCGTAGCACAGCCGCGATGTACACGGTACCAACTGCCAAAAGCCCTCAACCGATGTGCCCATCCTACTTCTAGCCTACACCGACCTAGACCGGACTGACTGACCGACCGGTACCGTATCTGTTTCAGCCTCTCGGCCTCTACCGGACCCGGCTATAGGCTATAGGACCGTCTATTCAGAATAGGCCCATAGGGCCTGTCTGTCTAGGGGTAGCCCGGGCCTGCTATCCACAGTTAGGGTAGCTGTAGGGAATCAAGTTAGTACCGGGCCTGTATTTTCCCGGATTTGCAGATATGTCCGTCAAGAATTTCCCTCACAGGTAGGTCTCTCGGTTAGCCCTCAGCCAAACAAAATTACGAATTTGTCCTACCTATAGTACAGCCTCGACAGAGAGAGGCTACAGGCGACCAGAAAACAGCAAGTCATTGCAGAGTGTTGGTCTTCTGACAACAAACAACCAGGTTCATAACACATGCATGGACAGGATGCTCGCCTTGACGACTTTCATGTTGTTGTCCAGGGTGGAGTCATCTAAACCCTCTAATGCAACTTTGTCTGCCTCTCTACTTTGCAGTCTGATACTCCTATTTCTAATTTCATTTTCTCTTTCGGTAGCCTTTCTAAGTTCCTCTGCTAGCCTTATGCGTATCCTCTCTACTTGCTGGAGCTCCATCTGCTCCCGGGTGTGTGGAGGCGGCGAGCTGAACTGCGAACCCGCCATCTGACTAGTGCCAGATCCTGACGTATTGGAGGAGGACTGCGAGCTGGACCAGCCAAGCAGCATGCCTAGACGAGGTTGCAACAGTTGTTGCTGCAGCAGTAGCCATTGCTACTGCACTAGCTGCTGCTGCTGCTAACGATCTTTCTACAGCTGCTACTGCTTCCCTTGCAGTCTCTAGTCTACCGGCCCTTGCTTCAGCCCTCTCTTCTCCTGGTAGTAGGACTTGGAACACTACATGTAAGTGTATCCCGCCTAGTCTGCCTGCGATCGTCAGCTATACCTTCACCACCTTCTGATCCACTCATCAGCTAGGCAGACGCTATCTGCACTAGTGTTTCCTTTGGAACCTACTGCAGCATACGTCTGACCGGTTCTTAAAATAAATAAAATAAAAATAAATATCCGGCAAGTTACCTAGGCTACCGGTCAAGCGGTATCCGCAGCATTCACACAGACTGTACACATAATCTAAGTTTACTTTGATTAGTTCTCTTAGAGCAGCTTCGAAGAGAACTGGCTATGGTAGAACACTACAGTTCTAGTCTAGGCTGTCTGTGAGGTGTTAGCAGTCTGTCAACCAACTAATCAAAATAGCTATGGTAGAACACTACAGTTCTAGTCTAGGTTGTCTGTGAGGTGTTAGAGAGGTGTTAGCAGTCTGTCAACCAACTAATCAAAATAAAAATAAGCTATGTAGCAGATGTATGCACAAAGGGTATGGCTGCGGACTACACTTGAGTCTCAATTGGAATCTTTCTCCCTTGTATCCAAAATGCCTGTAGGCATCATCAAGCGGCAGTGTCTAAGGTGTGCATTAGCGGCCCACCCCTGTGCCCATGGTGTATGCTTATGACCAGCCTGCCCGTTCTTTACCCTCGCGTGCAACGAGCCTTACATCTGACTGATCTGGCTGATCAAGAGGCAGTTTAAGGACAGCCCCCACGGTCCTCAGGAATTATTTTACATCGCAATCAGGACGACGATCACAGCCAGAGACAGATCAGACACCCGCCAGAAATGTTTATAGACGGTCTGGATAACGTCTGCATAGGACTGGTTAGTCCGCACACCCCTTCTATTAGCGCAGCAAAGAGCCTTAATGGACAAAAGCAGCATGGCCTGCGTGTACTACTCCCATGGGTTGGCATGGTGATTGTGACCCGTGCTTCGACCAGGGTCCTTCAAAGGCACCGCCCTCTCCTTCCAGATGCGCCACCGGGAAGAATATCGTCTCTCAAGGTAGAGCGCTCACGACTCCTCACACAAAAGAGAGGGCACTCAAGGTTGGACTCACTTCCTTGCGCTAAGAAGAGATTGAGAGGGTAGATAAGGTAAGGGAACAATGTACCTGGAGATATCTGCACCCAACCACAGATTTCAATGACCAGTCATAGCCTCCGTACCACCCACATCGCAATGCAGTGCCTCCTCAGCCAAAATGCCACATCAGCATGCTCTCATCATCATACATACATCCGCTGTCACCACAGCTCCCACGCTGTCGCCACAGCCTTCCAGCGGCCGGCCCCTCTACCTGGGCCCCGCTCTATCAAGCCAGCGCCAAAGTATCCTTACTGCACATGAAGCGTCGTCAGTGCACCAAGTAACAATGTCGCCAGCGCCAGGTAAGCGGCGATCACGAACCAGCTCTGATACCAAATTGCAAGGAATACGAGTGGGAACGATATACAGAAAACCAAGTTGCGGGAATGGGGGAAGGGAGTTCAGCCAGCGCAAAAAAAAAAAAAGAAAAAAAAAAAAACAAGTTGCGAAATCACACAGATGACCAAGTAGTCGTGTACAAGCAGAGAGCACAAATGCACCAAGATCCCATCCGATACAATGAAGTAATGAGCATATGTTCAAGCCCTCAGGCCACACCAACACAGTATCCAAAGTCGCTCCTCTCTGTCTGGTGCCCAGCGCCCAGCCTATGCTACTTGACTATCCTACCTACATCAGCATTATCGCAACAGGCTCACTTCAGCTCTTGAAGACCAATATACATGACGTCAACACCATAGCCGACCTCCTTACATGTACCAGGTACGTATCACGTCTCCCCTCATCAGACCCTGTCCACCCACACTCGCCTCCTTCCTGAAGACCACCGATCGCCCTCTTACCCTCTAGCGCCCTGCAGTCCGGCTATGGCTGCTAGCGCTCCGCTGCCCTGCAGCGCCCCTCTTCACCACTCACGCGGCCGCACGCGCTCTGGCCTCAGCGCAGCACGCAGCCTCTAACGCAGCAGCGCAGCAGCGTGACCGCATTGCCTGCGTGGGCCAGAATATCCAGGCCCTGGCTGCTCTCTTTTGTATATGGAAGTGGCAGCCCCTGCGTTGCTGTGTGTGGCCTGGCTGGAAGCTTCCAGTAGCTTCCGGTTGGGCCCCAGTGCTGCGCCCAGGCCCGAGACTACGGTTAAGGGCCTGGTCCCTTTACAGTTGGGCACGGCCTGAGTCTCCAGACTGGGGCCGTTTGCTGCATTTGCAAAGAACCCCACGCTAGGTACGTCGACAGTACTGCTTTCGCATAGGCCGGTGGCCACTTCATGATGTATCGGCCCTGCTTTGTGTGTATGTGCCCAGGCGCAACTGCCAAGGCCTGGGCCAACTGTACAACGCAGCTTAGGGAAGGCTCACGCGTCCACTCAACCAACTGGCGGGCTGCAACAGACTGAGTACCCATGTATGAAAATGTCGAATTTTGGCCTCTGATGAATATTCAGGCCCGCCTTCACTTAGGGTGGGCACTCGGCTTGCTGGGGGCCTCGGGCCAGAACATGTGCCTGATATGGCCCCCGTGAGGGCTCTTTCCTCGCACATAACCAAATTATAAAAAAAAAAGAAAAGAAAGGAAGACGAAGGAAGCCACTTTGCTCCATAGTATGCAGAGATCCTTGGAGATAAGGGACATAAGTCTGGTCTCAGGATGAGGGATGGCAACATCAGTGTCAGCAGGACCCTCAGCCGGGTCAGACCCTAGCTAGCCTACCGTCTTCACCCGAATAAGACGCCCGGTCATGGTCGCTGCATCCGGTTTGAAAGTTGGCCCAAATGCAGTTATGATGACCGGGCGTATTATTCGGATGAAGACGGTAGTAATGCTTTCTGACAAGTTGTCATGATGGACTGAGATTGATCGTGCGGGCTGATTTTAAGCGTTATTTTTCCATGGGGGTCTTTCTCAGTCATGGGAGGGGCCTGTCTCGGAGGTTTGGGCATACTGGCAGTCAATCCTTCCTGATGAAGGTAATCAATGTTGTTGGGGTTCCCTGGGCTGTAACGCAGGGAAACGTGAAGTGGGTTGTGTGACGGCTCTTTTAGGAAAGCTGGACCTGTTATCCAGAAGGTGCAGCTCCCCACCAATAGAAAGGAGCTGTTTCTTTGAAAAGAAAAAGCAAGTGCAAATCACTTTAGAAAAGGAAACGACCGAACATCTAAATTTTATTCTGTTTCTGTTGCAGGCGGAGCAAGAGGTCAAGCGCAGTGGGCGGGGAGGTCTTGATTATGTGAAAGAATTCGGAGCGAAAGCGGACGAACTGCTTGCTCCTACTGCAGCCAGTGCTTTCTACCATCCATCAGAGAAGATTAAACTCGGTAAACGGAAAAATGTGAGGTCTCTCTCTACTCTCCCTACCATAACACATCTTGTTTCTGTGAGCATTCAAGCAGTATCACTTTCTCAAGAAACTATTACCGAATTTGACCTGGGTATTAGCAGCGGTAATTGGACATGCTTCTGGATTTTGACCGATTACTGGCAGGCCCCACTGGTGAAATGTTCAAGCCACCGACAAGGCCACTGTTGCGTATAGTTTCCTGCTTTCCGACCAACAACTACATCAGCAATTGGGCTTGCCTCGTAATCAAGGTTCCTGCTTTCCAAGCACAGACATAGTCTGTCTTTGACCATCAGTTCAAATCTCTCTCTCTCTCTCTCTCTCTCTCTCTCTCTCTCTCTCTCTCTCTCTCTCTCTCTCTCTCT